ATCATAAGCAACAAAACCTTCACCTTGTGAAACACCTGGATTTTTGCAAAAAACTAATCCAACATGAAAATAATTTCAAAAACCAAACACAGCCAACTGAATAGGAAGCAAAGGGTGAAATGCACAGCTCACTGGAGCACCCAATCTTACAACCTTGTGAGTCAGGCCAAACTCCACAAGGAAAATGCAGGCCCTGAATTTTAAAAAGAATTCAATTAGCATCGACAGTATTTCCATAATCAACAGCTGAATGCTAATTAAGAGCACAGCATCAAGAAGCAATGGAATCCCAGTGCAATAAGCAAAAGCACAACAGCAGCAAATGCTACCTTCAGCCTGCATGCATAAATAAACAGAATTAATAACTACCCATGCATGGAAGGGTGACTTAATCTGTTTTGATTAGGTGCAGTTCAGCCTGGGGCCTTTGTTTTATATTGAAATGTGTTCATCATGTTTAATTAAAAACTCAATAATCTAGGGTTTCAGTTTTTTGGGTTTTTTTTATTAAAGTTTTGATCTGTATTTCCTCCTCTTTCTCTTCATAAATTTTACCGATTTGGATCACTTCCTGCAAAGGAACAATACCTTTAGCATAATGTAAGTGAAATTGGTTAACTTGCAATACATAACTCCCATAGGCGGCAGCCAGCCATTTACTTTGGCCCTATCATTGCCTGTATTGTGGTATTTAATAAGCTGACCCAGTATTTCTTCCAAAATGCTTCTCTGATCCGACCCAGTTTATACAGCCTGAAAGATATGCCATGGGCTAACTACCTAGGTGTTTCTCACAGTCACTGCAAGAAAGCAGAACTCATTTGCAGTATCTGGTATAGAATTTGACAGAAATTGGCACAAATTTGGCTTCAGTTCAACACGATTTAAAGTATCTCAGCCCCAAAGCCACTTCAATTAGGAACACCATGTCTGTACACAAACTGTCAGAAGAATTACTGAAAGTGTATGATGAAAGGCCTCCTATTGTGTAATTCTGAGGTCTAAGATCTCCAAAATTAGTGATTATCTGAAAGAACCAAGGAAGAAGAGTTTGGGTGATAGTATAATGATGATGGCAATAACGATTAATTTGGGAGCTGTTTCTAAAAGTAAAGCTTTTAAAGTCAGCTTCAGATGCACGTAAACGTTTTTCCCTTTGATACTGATTTATAATTAAGTACTACAAGTTTTAAAATGCTAGATAGAGGACAATCTTAATTATACTGGAGAATTTCTAAAAACAATAACCTTGAACATTCTTCAAGCCCCTCAAAGGGAGAGACATTACCCTCACCATTAATAAGTCCTCAACCTTAATAAGTTTACAAACTAGGAGGGGAATCAACTCAGAAATAAAGACTGTAAGGAACAAATAGCTGGTGGTCACAGCACAAAAGTCATGGGGAGGCAGAGGATTAACTGTCGGTAAATGACGCCAACAGGAGATGCAGTTCAGAAGAGGGAGCAACGGCTGTGGGACAGGCAGAGGAACTGAGCTAAGCCTTGAAGAACGGTTAGGGTCTGCACTGGAGGGAGGGAGGCTAGTTTCCTGGCAGAGCTGTGGGCCTGCCAGGGTCAGGGGGTACATGGGCCCCACCCATCCAGAGCCCAGCTGGGGATTCACACCATTAGGTGTTTATTCCACTAACTCCCTCAGAGGGAGGCTGCTTCAGAGTATTCACATTAATGCAAAAGGAGACAACTTTATTGAGATTGCTGTAGCTAGATCAGACATTGGGTAGTTAGACCTAATTAATATGCTGGAGGCAATGAAGTTTAAAAATAACTAGATTATTCCAAGTACACAGAAAACTGAGAGGGAAAAGATAAAGGAGGGAGGCCCACATACTTATTTTAGCTGGGACACATTTCTTTTGCTTATTTCTATGATTCCCGGGGTGAGAGAATGTGGTACATTCAACAGAAGGAGGCCACATGAACACAGCCAAAGCCGGGTGAAGGTGAAGAGGTAACTG